TAACATCTCGGCATAAAATTTTAAAATCCTAAACATACATAATAAATTACATAATAAATTAACAATTAAAATAAGTTTTAAATAAAAAGGTCTTAGCCTGGAGCCAAAAAACAAATAACGACTGCGCCAGACAGACCTCTCTGGGGAGCGCATTCCATAGGTGGGGTGCCACCTCAGAGAAGGCCCTCCTCTGGATACTCACCCTCCTAATATCATTCACAGAGGGTTCCCGGAGAAGGGCATCTGTTGCCAATCTCAAGGGGCGGGAGGGCATATATGGACGCAAGCATTCCTTTAGATAACCAGGTCCCAAGCTGTTGAGGGCTTTATAGGTGATAACCAACAGCTTGAATTGGACCCAGACATCAATAGGGAGCCAGTGAAGCTGACGGAAGACTGAGGTTATATGAGAACAACGCCCAGTCCCCGTCAGCAACCTGGCAGCTCTATTCTGCACCAATTGAAGTATCCAGACCGTCTTCAAGGGTAGCCCCACTTAGAGCACGTTACAGAAGTCTAATCGGGAAGTTACCAGTGCATGTGTCACTGTCACCAGGCAGTCGTTCTCCAGGAAGGGACGCAGCTGATGGATCAGCCGAAGCTGAAGGAAGGTGCTTCTTGCCACTGCCGTCACCTGAGCTTCTAGTGACAGCTCAGGATCGAGGAGCACTCCCAAGCTGCGAACCCTGTCCCTAAGAGGAAGTGCAACCCCATTTAGGACAAGGCCCAGGTCCCTCATCTCGAAGTCCGAACCACCCACCAACAGGACCTCCGCCTTGTCTGGATTGAGCTTCAGTTTATTGGCCCTCATCCAGCCCATTACCTCGGCCAGGCACCGGTTCAGTACAGTCACTGCCTCACCTGGTTTGGTGGAAAACGAGAGGTAGAGCTGGGTATCATCAGCGTACTGATGATTCCGCAGCCCACACCTCCTGATGACCTCTCCCAGCGGTTTCATGTAGATGTTAAATAGCAAGGGGGACAAAATGGACCCCTGCGGAACTCCATGGCATAACTGCCATGGTGCAGAGCCATAGTCCTCCAGCACCACCTTCTGGAATTGGCTGTTGAGATAGGAGCGGAACCACTGCATCACGGTGCCTCCAACTCCCAATCCCGCTAGCCTATCCAGAAGGATACCATGGTCGATGGTATCAAAAGCCACTGAGAGGTCCAGGAGAACCAACAGGGACACACTCCCCCTGTCCTTCTCCCTGCACAGATCATGGTACAGGGCGACCAAGGCAGATTCAGTACCGTACCCGGGTCTGAAGCCGGACTGAAATGGGTCCAGATAATCAGTTTCATCCAAGAGTGCCTGGAGTTGTCCCGCCACCACCCGCTCTAGCACCTTGCCCAAGAACGGAAGTCTGGGCCCAATTTAAGGTGCTGGTGATGACCTTTAAAGCCCTAAACAGCTTGGGTCCGGAATACCTGAAGGAACACCTTCTTCCCTATAAGTCCTCCTACCCTTGAGATCTGAGGTGGAGGTCCTTCTTCGGGAGTCCTCCTTGAAAGAGATTAGGATGGTGGTTACCTGGAGGAGGGCCTTCTCTGTGGTGGCGCCCCAACTGTGGAATATGCTCCCCAGAGAGGTTTGCCTGGTGCCAATGCTTTTTTCTTTTTGGCGTCAGGTGAAACCCTTTTTATTTTCCCATAATTTAAATGTTAATTGGTTTTAATTGTGGTTTTAATATTTAATCACTGGTTGATGTACTATTTTTATTTTATTTGTGCTTATTGTAAATCATCCCGAGATGCCAGTAATGGGACCATGTATAACATAGGGATTTATAGGGAATAAATAAATCCCTATTTTCAAAAAGGGGAAAAAGTTGATCCTGGGAACTACAGGCAAGTTTGTATGACATCAATCCCTGGAAAAATTCTGAAGAAAATTATTTTAAAAAATCAGTCTGCAAGCATCGTGAAGAAAATGCAGTGACTAATAGAAGCCAAATAAATCCTGTCAGACTAATTTAATTTCATTTTTTGATTGGGTAACCTCCCAAACGGACAGAGGAAAAGCTGTGGACATAATCTACCCTGACTTTAGCAAAGCTTTTGACATAGTGTCCTGTGACAGTCTGATATTAAAATTAGCAAAAAGTGGACTAGATAGAAAAGCTGTTAGGTAGATCCAAAATTGGCTGCTAAATCGGACAGAAAGAGTGCTCATCAACAGCACCTTCTCATACTGGAGGAAAGTAACTAGTGGGGTACCACAGGGTTCAGTCCTGGGCCCAGTGCTCTCAACATCTTTATTAATGATTTAGATAAGGAAGTATAAGGAAAAATAATTAGATTTCCATACAGTTCAAAACTGAATGGAATAATGAACACCCTTGAAGACAGAATGAAGATCCAGGGTGATCTTCATAAACTTGAACACTGGGCTGAAAGCAACAGAATGCGATTCAATAAGCACAAGTGCCAAGTCCTCCACCCAGGAAAAAGAAACCAAAGGCATCAATACAAGATGGGGAATACATGGCTCAACAGAACCCAAGGGCTTTCATGGCCTCTTCCAACTCTACTACTACTCTATGATTCTATGAACAGTACTAAGTATAACAAAAAGAGCTTCTTTAGATATGTTCAAAATAAAGAGCAAAAGCAATAGTTAGAATAGCTGCTCAGTGAAGATAACATAATGCTGAGAGATGACTAAGAAAAGCCAGATCCTTTCAGCTCCTATTTTTGCTCAGTCTTCTCCCCAGAGAGGATCTGTATTCCAGCTGGCATACTTGATGACAGGTAATGGAAGAGGAGTGCAGCTTAAAGTTGTCAGAGAGATGCTCAGGAAAAAATAAGTTCCCTAAATCTGTTTAAGACCTGAGGTCCAGATTGCATCCTTCCATGTTAAAGGAACCTAGAACCGGTTAAATCCACTGGACCTCAGGTCTTATTCAAAATTAGGTCTGGAAAATCTGTGCCAGTTGTTATCATTAATTTCTAACTGAATTTATTCCATGATGAAAATAAAAACTGACAACAACCAAGAAGAAGTGAGCTGATTACAAGGTTTCAAAGTACCTTCACTTCTGAAAGAGCAACATTTGGAACCAAAAAACTAAACTAAACAAAAAAAAAGATGGTAAAAGTTACTGGAAGTCAAACTGGAAAAATATTTAATGGGCTCACTTTTGTAGTAGCACTACTAGAGAGGAGGAGGAGGTGGATATGCAGGTACTATTACTCGTATCATATCCCTTCCCCCCAGTGCCCCCTACTTTGTGTCAGATGCAACTGCACTTTCAATTTATAAGTTGGTTTTCAAGAGCATAATTAAAAGCAGAACTAAGTGGAACCATTCTTCATCAGCTGCAAATTTGTTTGATGGAATGATCCTTCATGTTCTAGGTGAACTTCCCCCAACATTTGGAAGCATCGCAAGATACATTATTGTAAAATTGTACAACATGGATGGAGTTTATGTGCACACAGTTTTCTATAGGATAATTACTCCATAAATAAAATATCTTGAATGAGACAGAAGATACATTAGCTTCTGTGAGCAGCAGTATATAATTGCCGGAGTAGAAATTTGACTACATTCTGAATTCATCAGAGCACTGGTAGCTTCAAAGAGGTTCTGGTGCTATTTCTAGTGCATGCATTAAAGTCTTATGTAATTTTTAGGCCCAAGGGATTGCATGGAACCTTAAAAGAAAATTGTTTTTGTTCAAATGAACCAATGAAAGGGTGGATACCCAGCTGATTTACTGCCTTTCAGTTACCTTATCAAATAACACTGTCAGACACTACAATAATGCAGATGGGTTGGTAATTTTTTGGCAAGTATTTCCCACTTTATACAGTAAATGTTTGGATCATAGTAAGTCTGCAGTCAAAGATGTGAGAAAACTAGGAGGGCTAGTTGGGATATTCAGTGATCAGATCTGTCTCTGGATGTCATTGTTTCACTAGATAAGATGACAGAGCAGCCTTTTCAAAAAGGGAAAGACTCAGCCTTTAAAAATTCTGGAGAAGGATGAGATTGAAAAGGTAGTTTTTCTGCCTTAAGGCTCAAAGGGAAGTTTATATTGAGGTTCTCTGTGGCTTGCTTTAAATTGTTGTCAATGTTTTCATAATTGGAATAAATGAAAGAGCATTTTTGTAGCCAAACAAACAAAAAATACTTTCACTTTTTATTCCATTGACTTGACTTATAATTTCAGAACTGATATGCATATTTTCCAAGTGCAATACAGAAATAGTTATGCCTCCAACCACAGTAACTTTGTAAGTATTTTGATATGGGTCTTGCATTAAGCAGTCTCTGGTTCCATAGAATCTTCCTTTGTTTTTAAATGCAATATTTTATTATTATTTAGTATCATTTTTACAGCATTGTACACCCTACTCATTAATTGACAAGGCTTCCAGAGTTACTTACTGACACTTCCTGCCATTGGGCATACAATAAAATATGCATGGCATTAAAAAAAGTGGGGGGGGGGACCCTTAGGCATGAGGTGAAAAGCTAAAGATGTCTTATAATGGCCTATTGGGATGGACATAGCACTGGAAGACAAGGAGCCAAAAGAAGCTGGTCTCTCCATCAAGTTAATTGAATTACTCAAATATAGGTGACATTTAAGCAAAGTCAAAGGAAGCTAGTCTTTTAGCAGAATATTGTAGGTGACTGGATTATTTAGCTATTCTTTGCCAATCTAGGGGTTAATAGTTATTGCCCTTTCTTTTGGTTCAGCGAAAGAGAACCTTATCAAGTGTTGAATGACTGCAAATCTGAACACCTCCCCCCACATATTTATTTGGTATTAATGTCATTTTTCCTAGTATTTATTAATGTATTCATGCTGAAACAGCATTTGTACTGAAACAGCAGTTTAAACTTGCAAACATAGTTCAAATGAGTTCAGCTATTGAGAGATTTGTTGCATTGTTTGTACCTTTATTTTGGTGAGCAAATTGTGTAACTTTTGGTCTTGACACAGTGGTTATTTTAAAACTAATTTAGAATTCTATTTCTGTAGGTTACAGGATTTCCTATACAGATGCCATATCTAGATATGAAGTCAATAACTGAAGCTGTTTATCAGACGGGAATTCATTCTTCAGAAGTTCCCAATACAGAATTTGCTCTTGCTGTGTATATTCATCCTTACCCCAATACTATGTTATCTGTCTGGATCTATTTAGTGTCTTTGGTCCACCATCATAAGTAGTATTGCCCCCCCCCCCCAAGATTCTTCAGGAATCAGCTATTCAGTGAAACCATCAGATGCTTCCTGGTTGTGATATTTGAATTTTCGCTATTGTATCACAAGGAAGAATTGAGATGCATACTGTTTTTAGAAATATTCTTTCAAATGTTCCTTAGGTATTACTTACTTAGAAACAGGCAGAAATGCTGCTTGCTTGTGAAGTTATCACTACATTTTATTTTTAGTTTCTGCAACAGTAAGCAGTGTTAAAATTACTAACAGAATTTAAGACTTATTGGAAAATACTTTGTGCCAGTACATGACTGTATAATGAAAATTATTGAATTTAGTCAAATTAAAAATGTTTAATATTATTGATTGATTCATAGTTATTCAATAAAACATGGTGGTTTAAAACCTTAAATCATTTTGTTGATTTATAAAAATAAATAAAACTCCCCTTCTATTGTCTACTTTTTACCTCAAATTTCCACTTGACTCTCTTCTCTTTCCTCTCTTTTGATGGCCTTCAAACCAGCTTTTTGAAAGTGTGCCAGGTGTGGTATGAAAATGCCATCCACCAACAGAAACTCAGCTTGCTTATTTTGCCTTGGCAAGGAGCCTCATGTTGATAAGTACCCTCATTGTCAGGAATTTACTAAGTACGCCCCAAAAAATAGGGATGGCCATCTGAAGATGGAAATGTGGACAAGGGCTATGTGGTCTGTTCCTGGCAACTAAAAAAAAAGTTTCTCTACTTCTTGGCAGGCTTCAAAACATGGTTTATTGTCTGCCCAAAGTGGCAAAAAAAAGTTGGGCAAAGAGAAGCCCACAAAGAAACACACCCACCGCTCACCTGAGCGCTGCAGTTCACCTATCCTGCTGGGTACCTCTACAATGTCAGCCCCACAATCAATTCATGCCTCCCTGGCTGTGTCAGCTCCAGGCACAGCAGCCTGACCAGAGCCCATGGAGGCAGTTTGAGCTGGTAGGACCAGCCTCCTTGGAAGGAGAAATTCCATCCCGATTGCCAATGGCTGCTCCAGTCTGATTGGTGTAACCACCTTGATGGGATATGGAACCACGGGCTGTTCCTCCAATGCCTTGTCCATACCAAGTCATCTTGTCAGACCTGTCACTGATCTCTGTCCACCATTGGGTCCATGGCTTCAAACCAACTGCACCAATGTATCGAAGAGAACTGTGTCGAGGGCTGCCCCCATATGCTGGCTGTTACTTCCCCAACTATCCATGGGAACAGGTTCTGGAGCCACGCAATTGCCAACCAGTACTTGCCCTAGGGATCATTGGACACTGGTGCAATCCAGTTACCCACCACTCCTGGACCCAACCAGGTCAGAGCAACACTGCTTAATTGTCCCCGCTCCACAACCAGGACCAGAACAGAGACCTTCCTCTCTATCTGCCAACTCAACCTCATACAACATGATGGACTATGCCTCAGCTTCTGACTCATACCAGTATCTAAAGAACCTTACTGGACAATGTTGTCTCCTCCCAAGGCCTGAGATCTCAAGGGAAAGACCTACAATGCTTCTTAGAGCAAGTCAGATGGCAACATCACTTGGCCTCCAGGCTCAACAAGTTACCAAGCCATCAGAGGACCTAGTGTACATTATGATCCAAATGGAGGACACAGTGCTGGTAGCTATACCATTTCTATTGACACTGGAACACACCTCTGGCAGCTACCAACTGAACCTCATCCAACCTTGCGCAGGCTGGAAGGGATGTACAGGGCACAGGAGGGAGATATACCCTAATTGTTCCACCATCTGTGCCCAAATTCCATCATCATGGAGTTGACACAGGGAAGCTCCCAGAGAAAACAACCTGCACCAACTTGATTGGGAGGGTTGCTGGTTGGATGTGATGGCACAGTGAATATATTCCACCATGGGCTTGGGCCTTTGCATCTCTAATTATGAAGCCATGATGGGGAGGTACCAGGTCTTTCTCTGGCAGAAGATGGAGATTCTGGAAGCTTTTCCACTTCATCTCAACGAGAACTTGCCAGGGTCTTCATATCTGAAGCCACTCAGCTGTCTAAGCAACAAATCACCACAACACAGCATCATGTTGACTGTGATTCAAGGGCCCTTTTTGGCGCAGTGGCAATATGCAGACACACATGGCTACTTGCCGCAAATGTTCCACAAGAAACTCGGTCCAGGATAGAAAGTATGCCCTTCAGTGGGGAAGGGGTCTTCCACTCTAGAATGGATGAGAGATTGGACATCATTCAAAAGGCCAGGGCAACTGTGTATGGGATTTGGCCCCTTCCAACCAACCTACCAGAGCATATAAGTGGCCATAGGGTTGACCCATGCAGTACCAGCTCTACTACACCAGGCTCCCACACACTTTCCCTAGGTGTCAACAACACCTACAACCACCTGCAGCCCAACAGGGTTGTCAAGATGTTACCTGTTTCCAACAACCACCTAAGAGAAGGCTAGATGCCAGAAAGAGGCAATGTTGATGGGTACTACAAACCAGTCCTCACCTCTTTTTACCATCCCATTTTGCAACTGCCTAAAAGACTATTTTCTCATTTGGGAAACCACCACATTGGACTGGTGGGTACTTTCTATAATACAACATGGGTACAAAATTGAATTTGAGACCTTGCCACCTCTTGGAATGGTCTGCCTAACTCCTCCTCCTTCAACCTTAATGGAGAAAGTCAGCACCTTACTAGCAAAAAGGGGAATGCATCCAGTCAATTGAACCGAAGTGGAACATGGTTTCCATTTGAGGTACTTTATTGTCCCAAAGAAAGATGGTGGCCTACACCCAATATTAGACCTTTGGGGAGTTAACTACTTTATTCCAAACAAGAAATTCCAAATGGTCTCCCTACAGAACATCTTGCCACTATTATGGCAAGGGGACTGGTTCACATCAATAGGTTGCATATTTCCATATAGGTATCTGTCCAGAATAGTGCTGTTTCTTATGGTTCCGAATTGGCCCTGACCCCTACAATTTTCAGGCCCTACCATTTGGACTGTCAACAGCACCAAGACTCTTTACAAAAAGTATGGCTGTCATGTGCGCCCACCTGAGTCTACAAGAAGTAAAAATTTATCCTTATCTGCTAGTTGCCACCTCCAGGAACAACCTCTTGCACTCCATCTGGAAGCTGCACAACCTTCTGCAAGAACTTGGACTGTCTATTAATAATGAAAACTCTATACTTCCTTGTTCACAGTCCATCATGTACATTGGAGCAGACGTAGACGCTTCATTAGTCAGACCTTTCCTACCACTGGACTGTGTGCGGAAACTTACGAGGTTAGCTCATCGCTTCCACTCCAAACTGAGATGCACCATCTGGAGAGTTCAGTACTTCCTGGGATATATGGCATCTACTGTGGCAGTAGTCCAATATGCACAATTGTGTATGAGAGACCACTCCAGCTGTGGTTTACAAGGGCATACCGTCTCTACAATTCACCTCAGAAAGTTTAGGAACGCCCCTGTTCCGTGAGAACAAGCTTTTCATGGTGGACGAACAAGCTCTGCCTAACTCAGGTCTTCTTGTTACCAGAACCAATGATAACAGTGACTACAGGCACATCTCTCACTGGGTGGGGAGCCCACTGTGGCCATTACCAAATGCAAGGCCTGTGGACTGGAGAAAGGACATCAACCATCTAGAACTTCTTGCTGTCCACAAGGCACTGATCTCTTTCCAACATGTCCTGAATGGCAAACATATCCAAGTTGCTTTGGACAACATGATGGTAATTTTCTACCTCAACAGAGTGGCATGAGGTGTTTCTCTAGCTTGTTTTAAAATCTGCATATGGGGATGGTGCATTCAATCATAACTTTGCAATCAAACATAACTTTGATTGTTGTCTATGCGGCAGGACTGCCAAATTCCATGGCAGATGCCCTCAACTGAGCACCCTTCCAACTACACAAATGGGAGCAGAATGCAGAGATCAGGAGCAACATCTTTGCTGTCTGGGGCAAACTGCCTACCAACCTGTTCGTAACTGTTCACAGGCTGTGTTCACAGGCTGTGATCAGTTGAAAATTTTTTGAAGATGCCTTCCTCATTCCATGAAAGGGGACTTTATTCTACAGGTTTCCACCTTTCCCTCTATGAGGATAATCTCCAAAATCAGAATAGACGGAAATCATTGCATTCTCATAACATGGTGGCCCAGACAACCCTGGTTCTTCTACATGGTCTCTGTGCATCACACATATGGGTGCTGTGCCTGCGCCTGCCTCCATTTGGGAAGACCCACCCCCACATAAGCCTAGAATTTTTGGCGGGAGCCACACCCTCTTCCCTTTTCGTATAAATAGGTCATGCTCCTGCCATTTCTCGGTTTGCTTTCAACTGCCATTCATTGTTCCTAGGCTTTTGTCAACACTTTACCTCAGAGCTCTAGTCTTTTCACCTCTTATTCCTACCCCCTTTTTTCTCCTTACCTCAACAGTTCTTGTAAAACAAACAAACCAAACCAACCTTCTGCCAACTCCCCACTTTTACCTTAGACTTCGTCTTCCTTTCCTCTTCCTCTTCCTCTTCCTCTTCTCAATGGTGCACAAACCAGCCTTCAAAGTGCGCCAGGTGTGGTGTAAAAATGTTGTCTAGTGATGGATACTCATTGTGTCTCCATTGCCTGGGTGAGAAGCACCAAGTTGACAGATGCCCTTACTGTCAGGCATTTACCAAACAAGCCCACAAAAACAGGGCTGGATGCCTGAAAATGGAGCTGTGGGAAAGGGCTCTTGTTGCTATGCGGGATGTTGCCAGCAATGAAAACAATTTCCCTCCTACTTCTAATGAGGCTGCCGCAAAGCACCCTACCTCTGCGACAGAAGGCACACTGAAACTGCCCACTGTGCCAGAAGCTTCAGTGAGGACCTGATCCTCCCCTAGAGTGCAGTCCCTCAGCTCCAGCAGGGCCTGCGAAAGCAGCAGCCTGATTTTGCATGCCAGCCTCAGCCTCAATTCTGCACCGTGTCTGATCAGGAACATCTTGTCCTCTCCTGTCCTGTCCTATCCCGATTTCATCCCAGAGATGAATAGGACCAACTATACTATAGGGTTTTTTGGCCCCTCTGCAAGCCACAAAATAAACAGCCGCATAAATGTGAGCCTTGGTTCGGGCACCCCAATATATATCCTTTGCGCAATGTATATGTACCTATTTATATTAAAGTTAGCTTAGGACAGAGGTGGGAAACCGTCTGGCTCAAGGGCTGAATTAGTTCTGCGCAAGCACACCGAGTGCACATAAAGGGTGGTGTGTTTTCCCAGACTGCATGCACACAGGTTTTAAAAAGTCATTACCAGTACAAATGGAAACTTTTTGAAATTTCAAAAGTGAGAAATACAAATCTCACTGCATTAAGGGAGGAATACTATGGGCAGTTGGGGGATCATAGGATAATCTCTAAGATTACATATAAGCACACTACATGCATCATCTAGGAAACTGCTTTTCACTGACCTTTCAGTGTACAATAGTATATGACCTTCACACAAAACAGCTTCCTAAAGTTGTAGTTTTTTAAAGTGCTGCTACTTTCAAGCTTGGCATTAGAACTATTTGCATCAATACACATACTCATTTCAACAGTGTTCCAGTTTAATTGTTGAAATAGGTTCAATAGTTCATAACCTTGTTCAGAAACATTTCCTGTCTCTTTTCCTCTCCTTCCCAGAAGAGGATGTTTCAGTGAAGGTATAAGAATACTGGGGTTTTATTATTATTTTGGTTAGAGTATTTTTAAAAGTATTCTTCCTCCTTCATTTCTTGTTAGAATTATTTATCTTTAAAAATTGCTGGAGCATATGTTATGGCACATAATTATGACCTACACTATATATTCAGATATATGTACCCAAATACATACACACACAGATTACACAAAACTAGTTTTATTTTTATTTTTTTTTAAAAGAGTCCATGACACTCATCTGGATTTCTTTGTTTGTGGATATTTCTTTGTCATGACAATGACACACACATTTTGGTTCCTGAAGTAGGAATTTCAAGTAATGAGTGAATTTACTGAAGGATGACTAAACCCATTTTTTAAAAAATGACAAGAACAACTGAAAATGGTTGGCAGTGCATATTCTATTGTCAATGTAACGTCAAACTTAAAAGCCTAATAAATAAATAAAAACAAAGAAGAAACCCAGAAACCCAACAGCATGTAGCAGATCTTTAGAATTAAGTCTAATAACTTAAATACAAATAAGATGCAGGGCTTGCTGTTTTACACTCGCCCCACAACAATTCCAGTGTTAATTATTAGCTAATATTGGAGTGTAGAGGCCTATAAGATAGATTCCTCTGATCTATTAGTAACTCTATGCTACTGTCTCACACATGCAGGATGAAACTGAAGCCAACAGAAAAATTTTAGAAGCAACCTGCTATTATTTCAAGTCATGGATCACCACAAAGACTGTACATTCAAAGTATTATTGAGGTAGTAAGACACTGAAGAGGGTTTTTTTAACAATATCATATTGCAAACTGAGATGAATATATTTCCCTTTAGGATGTGTTCTGTAATCCTTCATCCTCACATAAAACAAAACCATCAGGAATTACACCACAATGCGAGAACACTTTACTCCTAATTTTTTTCCCTCTTTCAAGGAAGCCGTGTAAGGGAAAACAAGGTAACACTAAAATGGGTCTGGGAAAGAAGTAGTAAGGGCATTCTCTAGCATATAAAAGATGTTTTCAGAAAGTTTTTCTTTCAAAATTGCCTTTTCCGTCAGAGACGCTCTGGAAATATAAAATAATTATCACTACAGAGGATCACTTCTCCTCTAAATTAAATACTATTTTTGCAACTTGTTTAGCTCCTGAAGAGCCATTTAGATCAAGCAATGCCTCCTTCCTCCCCTCAAAATGTTAAGTGTCATGCCAGCCCTTCCTCCTTGGGTTAACTCTATGTCATTAACTTCTATATTCATGTTGTCCATCATTTCCCATGCCCACTCCCAGTATTTCCAGACCACAGGATGTAAGCACTACCCTACACTTCCCATTTCCAAGGATTTCTTTTCATATCTATATGAAAGGCAATTAACTCCTTACTTTTGTAAGTTAAAGAACATTCTCATAAGAGTTCATCACCACCGATTTACCTTCTCCAGTCAAGTAGTTCTACTTCCAATAAGAGCTGAATGTTGGAATTTAAAACAGCTAGAGACTATCATATTTCTGATAGTTGCATAATTAGCACCCTTAGTATGCCTGCCTGGTTGACACCTTGAAGGTATCTGAATCACTATTAATAGAATAGAAATAGGAAATGCAGCTGCTTCAGTAAAGTCTAGCCACTTGTATTTCCCATACATTTGGCAGCCATCATGTACAATGCTGCATTTCTTGTAATGAGTTAAATTTCACCCTCCCCCAAAATTAAGAATTTATACAATGTAAATGTTAGAACTTTTTGGACATAAATAGTTGGTTGCATAAACTGTGTTAATTCACAGATAATACTTCAATCAGCCAAGGTACAAAATAAGCCTTATTTAAGGATAGCACTCTTATTCTTCCTATTTCATTAGAAAGCACACTTTTGGATTAAGGGAGTAGTTTGGATTGAGTGAACTCCCTTTGGTATTTGCTACTGCAGTTACCTTGAGCATGAGAACCCAAAATAACTGCTTAAATGATATAGTTAAGTATCACAGTAGTTTTTGATTCCCTGAGTTAGTATGGTAATTCACCTCAAGTGGCTTCAATAGAGAAAAAAATACTTTGAAGTAGAAGACGTAAAAATGTTAAGTCAACAACATTATAACACAAAACCTCATCCACAAGCAGGGATGGAGAATGAGCTGCTGACTGAATGAAAATGCTCTCTCCTCTCCTACACGATTCTCCATATTTTACGAAAGCATGGCACTTGGTGGACTTTAATGCTTTAGTGTCTTATTCAATACTGTGTGGAGGTTTGCAGAAGCAGTGATTTCTTCAGAATCACACAGGACCCCTTCTTCTTCATGGGAAGACAAACTTGAAGTCAGTGCAGCTCACTCGCTCGCTCTCAACGTCAGCTTTAAGGGCAAATCCAAGTTGAACATGTAGAACTTCCATGTGCAGAAGTATCATTTCCATCATTCTCAAATCATAACACCCTGTTAGTAGGTATGTTCTCATATTTGCAAGTTCTGCAACTGAGCTACCTTTTGAAACAATATTGGTACTCAGCCATTTCCTGTTTGTTAAGAGGACTGCCCTCTATGCTATTTGACAATGATAACACGTAAGTTCTCCTACAATCATCACCTCTCAAAGCATGGAGTAATACAAGGATAACG